CTACTTTTAACATCATGAAAATTACTCTTATTATCAGAGTAGAGCACAACAAATGAATGTTATATAAACTGTATAAATATTGAATTGTAATGAACATACGCAAATTACAATTCAATTTTTATACAGCTTACATAACATTCAGTTGTGCTCTATTTATTGCTTAGTGATAAATAAACTTAAAAGTTTGAATCTCTCCATAACATTAATAGTGACAAGCTCTTCAAGTGAACATAACCAATATGAACATATGTAAATATTGGTTATGTTCTCTTGATTATCTGGTCACTATTGATGTTATGGAAAGATTCAAACTTTTAAGTTTATTACTAAGCAATTCCATCTACGTGTTGACCTGACACTAAATGTTAATAAACATTACAAGAGGAAGTTATCGTCCCGGTGTTATTTGGTCAATGTTTACATCCCTCCCGGTTAGATTCGCACTTTGTTTAATAGGTAAATTGGGGCTCATTTTGTGAATAATTCACATTCAATATCATTTTTGATTAAACTGATGAACATTTAATAACTGAATAACCAAGGAATTTAAAAATAAAGATCAATTGCCAAAATACTGATATTTGAGCTGATAATAGTTTGTGTTTTTCTTCTTGTGGTATTACGTATTATCAACGATTATAATTATAAACTCAGAGAATTGGCTTTTAATATTGTCAGCGAGAAATGATATATGTGCAACAACCCCTAATACAATACCCCTTTAAAAATGGTACTAGTATATAGAAAGAAATACTTGTGTGGAAGAATTTTTTGTTTTGTGTATGTGCATGAAAGAGTTTTGTAATACTGATTTTACAAGAGTTTAGATTAATATAACTACATGAATATATCCAATTGAACCATTTGTTCTTTTTTTTATACAGATGTCTGTTGATTCTGGGCTTTTGTTATCCAACAGCCTGTCATCCATTGAACGGAATAAAATTATAGTGAAGCAAAGGAACGTGGCGACCAAAAATCAACTTGAATCTTTATCATATACAAAAAAATTTAAATATTCTACATGGGATTTTATTATTTTTCAATTCATCCAATGTTAACCACTGTATCCCTACATAGATAACACTTATTGGATATTTTTTGACATCTCACTGCTGTGACATCTCACTAGGTTTTGCGTGAGAGTGAAGTAAAATAAAACAAAATTCATATGAAGTTGTGTAATTCATTGATAGTTATGTACAAAACACGGAATAAAAAGTCTCCAATGATTTGTGGTTGGATATGATTTTTACCAAACTCGTTTGATTTTGTCCCTTTGACAAAGCTCAGGGATAGAAAAACCCCAGATCACTGGAGATCCTTTATTGATTGATTTATTTATTTAATATTATTGTATGATATCTTTAATCTACATCACTCTTTTTAAAGTCACTCTCTTGAAAGACAAGTTTTTGAGATTTTTATTTTCTATCCTCAGCTTTTGACAATTAAATCTCACTTTAATCATGTTAATCGAGTAATTACTTTATTATATTTACGCTTATTGTCAGCAGTGGTAGTGAATAATCACCAATTATGTTGCTGAAGAAATACTCCTGGACATCATTATAAAGGCTAAATTGATTTCATTTACTGTCTATTTCGTGTATATATTATCATAATGTTTCATATTGTTTTGCTAATGTTGTGTCTAAATATTCATTATCTTCTTTTTACATTAAATTTTTTATGATGTTCTTGACTTGAATTTCTTAATTTATTACATACTCAGTAGTGTGATCTTATTGGGAAACGTTATAATTTTGAATACCCTCTCTTCAATTTTTAACAAGACATTATAAGTAGTATCTTGCATATTATTTTTACTGAGACTTATTGAAATATGGAGACGGACAGTATTCAAGCATAAAAAAAATCATTTTTACAATACAAATCAGGCGCAAACCAAACACGGACCTCTGCAACATCAGGTGTGGGATAAGGTACCATGGAGGAGTGAGTATCCCCTGCCAACTGGTCACACCCATCGTGTGCTCCATGACATGATAAAAAATATTAAATCGGTGCAAATTCAGTGTGTAATTAACTGAGGTGTTGACATTAAAATGAGTGTCAAAAACGTCATTGTATTTTCTAGAGGGTCATTATATCGAGCACAGAACTTGAAAATAAATGACTTTTAACGGTTCTCTTGATATCCTTGTTTCATCAACTTGTCGGTCAACTGTTCTAGAAATTGTTCGTACAAAGAGCATGTTCTTGCAAATCGACTTAATTAAGAGGTATAAACCCATATTCAGGTGATGATACCGGTATACTGCTTAATACCAGGGTAAGTAATGTTCTCTATTACACTATAACTTTTCCTCAGCGTATATCGTATGTAACTTCTTCTGCAATTATTTCACGCGACAAATAAAACAAATAAAATAACGATAACAAACAGTATTTAAGATCAAAAGTCCATAAAACAATACAAAATAGAAGCAGAGTAAACAAAGACCTCCAAAATATCAGAGGTTGGATCAGGTGCCATGGAGGAGTGAGCATCTGATTGCAACTGGTGGCGCAAAATATTTGGTACACCACATTAACGGTCTGGGGGTACCTAATGCGATAACATATAAGGTCCGCCTTTTATAAGAAAAGGTCCGGCCTGTGTAAGAAAAGGTCCGCCTACATTTAAGGTCCATATGGTACAAAATGTTTTAATCTTGACATAACATATGAAATTGACGACAGATTTTCCCGTTATTTCCTGATCATGACAAGGAGCACACGGCGGGTGTGACCGGTCAGCAGGGGATGCTCACTCCTCCATGGCACCTGGTCCCACCTCTGATGTTTCGGAGGTCCGTGTTTGCTCTGCTCCTATTTTGTATTGTTTTATGGACTTTGAGATTAAAGCAAGTTTGTTTGCATCATAGGATGAAAGAAAGGGGCTTTACCCTTGTTTCCCCTTGTTTTTACTTGTACATTATTTCTTGAAGACAATAATCTTCTTTTATTTTAATGTGCTTTTAGCAATTCTGTTTAAGGCAATGATTTTCAAAAAAACGTCATATTTATTGTGCAAGTGTTTGTTTCCCCCTAGAATATGTTTTTGTGTAAATTAGTACGATTAAAGGTGTGAAACCTGTCGGTGTGTATAGCTAAATAAACATTGGGAGTGTGTCAGTTTTATATATAAATAGATCAGAATTTTTTAAAATTTAAATTATGCTATAGTGTAAGGAACAAAATATAATTCATGTAATGTAATTATCATATTCATGCGCATAATTAAAAATTGTGAGTTTTATAATAAATATGATTAAATATAGTCTTTATATGAATATTTAAAATACTTTCGTATCCCAAGTGTAAGACTGATAAAATAGCTTCTTTCGAACTTGTTGCCGCCGGGCGCATAGAGTTTCTCGAACCATCTTGTTTTCATGATATAACATCCGCCGTGTGCTCCCTGTCATGATCGGGAAATAACGGAAAATCCGTTGTCAATTCAGTGTGTAAATAATGAACTAACAATTAGTATGAACAACGTCGGTAAGCATTTGACTCAATGGTAAATTGTATTTGCTGACAAGGTCATTGTATCGACCAAAGAACTTACGAAATGATGACTTTAAACAAGACTGCTGATATTCTTGTTTCATCAACTTGTTTGTCAATAATTTACCTCGTTTTAGAAGTCGTTCACACGTAGTGCATGCTCTTGCGTATCAGATCAGCTAAGAGTTAACTCCGTATGCAGGTGATGCATATTGCTGCATAAGTAAGGGAAGTTGACGATTTTAAAGTTAAAGTCACGTTTATCGTAGAGCTTTGTTGTTAGATTACCATTTGTGTCTTTTTCAAGTAAAATATCCAAATATGAAATAGATGTTCAGACTCTGTGGTATCTTTTATCCCAAGCTCACCAGGATATATCGTATCGACATAAGAATGGATATAAGCATTGTTAATCGAAAATATGTCGTCGATATATCAAAATGTCGAATTGAAAGCCATACACAGCGGGTATTTTTTCCTTTTCATGTATAAGATTTAGGACAAATTCTGCTTTATATGAATACAAAAATAGGTCTACTTATAACGAGGCGCAATGGTACCTATGGAAATTCCAATAGAAATGTTGGAATACCTGGTTTTCAAACGCCACATAAATATTGTCAATCAAAAACTCAAGTATCTTTTTGATGTCAACTTCAAAGTACTTGTGTGTACAATCAGACTGTTTTTTAACAAAGTTATTTTGCAGTTGACCAAGTACTCTATTGAAGCATTCTGATTCTACATAGAAATACCGTTTAATTCTTTTAAAACTTTCTCAAGTTTCTCGAGTTTATTGTCGAAATGAATGTTTTCTTTGAGGGAACAGCTATTCGATAAAAACTCCTGTAAATTCTAATGACCCCCTAATTGTGCTCGTTTATAAGGCGATTTGTATTTATATACTTGTATTCTGAAACATAATTAATTAAAAATTTGCATTTACAGAAAAATCTCTGCACAGATCACAGTTTTTTGTGTTTCGCTTGACAATAAGTTGACATGTTTTTCTGATATTAAATCGATTATGTTAGCCCTATGAAACAAGTGCTTCGCCTATGAACTATGAAGTAAAAGATAACTCTATCTATTTCAGTGACGCTGACTAACATTTCCTTGTTAATAATTCAGTATCTGAATCAAGACAACACAAAGTTTTTTTTCAAAATGCGAAGTTTAAACTAAATTTGGCTTTCAAATTCTATCGTGTCCTAAAAATATCTAAAGGTAATGTATTGATCCAATTAAATGTATGTAAAAAGCATCTTCCTTATAGTTTCTGTTAATTAATCACAAATTCTGCATGAAACCTGAAAAAACCTAGAAGTAAACAAACGAAATATACTAGGTATGCATTGGAATAGCCTGTTCTTTCCTCTTTGAATGCTTTTACATTTCAGACTAATTAATGTCGATAAATCAATATCATGCAGAATGGCGCGACATTGGTTATGAGTCATAGTCGAAACCGAAAGTACAAATATTTTTGTTCCCTACAAGTCAGGTAAAAACCAGTTCTATTTATGATTAGCCTGCCTGAGATCACGGTATGTATTTATCATTAATCAAATTGAGAATAAAATTTCTGCTTGTTTTTGTTTTCACATCAAACTAACAAACAAGTTTACTTGAAATTTTAAATGTGAATCGCATTGTCATAATGCTAGCATTATATAATAATATTTTACAAAAGAAAAACATTCATGGCACATTTTATAAGATCAAACAGAAAGTAAAATGTGCAATCGTACGTTGAAATATATAATTATCAGTAGTATACATATTAAAGTGGCTACGGGAAAGATTTAAAACGAAAAATCAGAAATATCCTTTTAAAAAAACACGGTTTGTTAATTTAAGAAAATGGCGAAATGTTATTTTTTTTAAAGGACTTTTTAAAGCAAGGAAACAATAGCTCTAGATCTGTTTCCGTGAGGAAATATAGGACTTTAGCTGTGTAATTCTAAGATTTTCTCCTCTGATAAAGAAATAGAGATAGTTTTTTACGATATATTTTTTTCTTTTAAAATTATACTTGTAGCGTCACAAGTTAAGTCATTTAAGGAATTATCGAGCATTTCTTTGTAAGATATTTAATATAATACATATATACAAGCGTACATCATATCAACATACTCATTAACAGAAATTATGCAACATTTTTTTTCATTTTCAGTTTTAGACTTCACCATGCCAGACTGGAGGAAATTCGGAACTATTTCATTGATGACCATCAGTATTTGTTTGGTTTGTACAACTTCCTGATTTTTTTAATCCATACTAATGATGAACTTTACATGTACAGTAGCTTAAAACAAAGTAATGCTTCATATAGATCTACACTGAAATTTCAAAGAAGATCGTCTGATATGGAAATTTATCAGAAAGAAGACGGTGTTTTAGATGCAATACGTATAAACCATTTTTTAAAAAGTCCTTAATTAATACCTTAAACAGTTAAATAAGAAAACATCAATACAAGTTGATTCAAAATCTTGGTAAAAGCATGATACTGTTGATATAAATCTGATTTGTGATATCTTTCTTTTCTGGAATTCAATAAAATGTCAATTAATTATTATTTCAAACTGAAATCTTAAAACTCATGTAATTGCATTCTGTTCTTCAACAAAATTTTTGAACGCCATTCAATGTTTTCATTCAGTTTTTACTTGGAATCATCTCCTTGGTACTTGGGATATTATTATTTGGCGGAACCCTAGCAAGTCGTGAAATAAGACCAGTCATTAACAGCATCAGCACTGATTCAAACAAACTCGGAGACCAAATCAGTATCCTTCCAATCTTACTTATTGTCATTGGAGTGGTTACGTTTCCAGGAGCTGTTTTGGGTATACTGACAGCAATCAGAGTAAAGGGGAGGAAAGTTTTCTTAATTTTGGTAGGAATTTTTTGACATTTTTTAAATATGGAATTTGTCTATTTGAAGATATTCATATTCCCGATACTTATATTAAATTTCCTTTATCTTTTCAGTTGTCTGTTGTGAGTTTCCTTGTTTGTGTCGGTACCATAATCATTCTTGCTGTGTTTATCCCTAGAATTCAGGTACAAGCTTATTCTGCAATATAAAACAGTGAAATGTTATTGCTGTATTTGATCTCGATATGATGGTTTAGCTACCCAATGAATACAATATCCACCAAGCAAGAACATGAAAAAGGGGAAGTGAAAGTTCCTATGAATATTCGATATTGTATTTCTAGCGTTGGTAAGTCATTGCATTTGCCATTGTGCACTGTTTAGGTCAATGTGATGACTGGTCAGCTTTTTAAAGGCATAATGCCATTGTATGATTCAATCATAAAATGATACAAGATAATAAAGCAAATCTGGTCATTTCTAAATTTAACTCTTTAAATTTGTTGAACCCCTACTGTTGAATATTTGCAAAAATTGAAGATAACAAACTGCAATGAATCTTTAAAAATCCAGACAAAGATCATGTGGCCAAGAATCACAAGCGTCACCTACTTACCGGTTACACTCATTGTGATCCCGATGAATTGATCAAGGATACATTGCATATATAGTGAAATCTTCAATAAAATGAACAAATGGAGATAACGAACAGTACTGAAGATTCATAAAACAATAAAAAATAAGAGCAGAGCAAACACGAACCTCCGAAATATCAGAGGTGGGATCAGGTGCCATGGAGGAGTGAGCATCCCGTGCCGAAAGGTCACACCCGCCGTGAGCTCCTTGACATGATCGGGAAAAATGTGTCCTCAATTTAGTGTATAGATAATGGACTGACATTAAGTAAGAAAAATGTTAGTCAGCATTGATAATTGATAAATTGAATTTTATTTGATAAGGTTATTGTATCGACCATAGAACACATGGATTGATGACTTTAAACGAGACTGCTGATATTCTTGTTTTATCAACTTGTTTGTCAATAATTAATTTCATAGACTTTGATAACACGTAAACCATACTCTTGCGTATCGAATCAACTGAGATATATAAACTCCCTATGCAGGTGATGAAGATATATGATGCATCGGTAATGGAAGTTGAATTGTAATTAAAGTAATCACGTTTATCATAGAGTTTGTTTCTTAGATTACCATTAACGTCTTTTTTAAGTAAAATATCCAAATATGAAACAGATGTGTCAGACTCTGTGGTATCTTTAATCCAAGCTCACCTGGATATATCGTATCGGAATAAGAATGGAAATTTCCATTGTTAATTGACAATACGTAGTCGATATATCTAAATGTCGAGTTGAAGGCCACAAAAAGTGTTTTCTTCTTTTTACATACAAAGTTCTGAACAGACAAATTCTGGTTTATGTGAATACAAAAATAGGTCTGTTATTAACGGGGGGCCCATTTGTATTCCAATAGATTGTTGGAAGACATAGTCTTCAAAAACT